CATTCAATTCTAAACGTTATGAAACTCTGTATAAGGATTTAAGGAAAATCATTAAAATACAAATATCTAAGGCCTATGAAACGTATATATCTACAATTGAACGTTCTTTAAAAACTAATCCAATGGAATTTTGGAAATTTATCCGATCCAAGAAAACAAGCCCTCGTATTCCAGGAATCATCAAGTACGGCGAAAATGTCTTTACTACTCCTCAATCAATTATTGAAGCATTTAGTACCTATTTTAGTAGCGTGTATGCTCCTAATGATCCTAACACAATCATTGATAGATTAGTAGGCTGTACTAATATGCCTATCATTAGTATTAACCATATTTCTGAAAGTGAAGTCTCTCGAGCAATATCCAAATTAAAATCTAAAAATACTGTGGGTAATGATCAGATTCCCTGCTTCTTAGTAAAAGATTGCAACACTATTTTTGCTAAACCACTAAGCATTATTTTCAATATTTCTCTTGCAACTGGTACGTTTCCTGATATATGGAAAGTTGCAAATATTACTCCAGTGTTAAAAAGTGGAGACCCCACTAACGTTGCAAATTATCGACCAGTGAGTATATTAAGCAATTTCAGCAAAATATTTGAAATTACTATATACAATAAAATCTATTATCAGACTAGGAATATTATATCAGAACATCAGCATGGGTTTATTAATAAGCGATCCACGTTAACGAACCTTGCATGCTTTAAGCAATTTGTATCGCTAGCGTTAGATTCCAGGGGCCAGGTTGATGTCATTTACACTGACATATCTAAGGCATTCGATCGAATACCACATAATCTTTTGATAGCGAAACTCCGATGCTATGGGTTTCATGACGCCCTACTACGGTTATTTCAATCATATCTTTCACATCGCACCCAGCGTGTCACGTTTAATAACTTTGTATCTTTTCCAATAAATGCTACCTCTGGAGTACCTCAAGGGTCTAATTTAGGACCCCTCTTATTTAGTCTATTTATTAATGATGTGACTGATGCGCTAAACTGTCAAAGACTCTTATTTGCCGACGACTTAAAAATTTACTCCGTTATATCGACTAGCGAAGAATGTTTACAACTGCAGAATAACTTAAATAGCTTATGCAATTGGTGCAATGCTAATTCATTAACACTGAACATCTCTAAGTGTAAAATAATATCATACACGCGTAAAATGAGCCCAATCCTGTTCAATTACTCTGTCAGTGGTGTCAATCTACTCCGTACGTCATCAATAAAAGATCTGGGAGTAACATTTGATAGCAAATTCACATTTAATGAGCACATAAAAGAAGTATGTCGATCAGCTAATCGAACTTTGGGATTCCTCATGCGCAACTGTAAGCAAATATCAGATCAGTCAGCTCTTCGGTCCCTTTACTGTAGCCTAGTTCGGTCCAAATTCGAGTACTGTTCGCTAATTTATCATCCCACTTATAATACACATAAATCTGCATTGGAGGCCATACAGAGAAAATTTTTAAAATATTTGTATTATAAAACCAATGGTACTTACCCTATAAGAGGTTTTCATCATGATGAATTATTGACTATGTTCCAGTTTCGTTCCCTTGATACTATGAGAATTCTTAGCGGTATCACATTCCTGTTTAACTTGATTCATAATCATATTGATTGTCCCGAACTCCTAAACCATGTATCATTTAAAATACCTCATGGTGCAAATCGTCACACAAATACATTTCATTACCCTATTCCTCGAACTGAGATCCTGTTTAGTTCACCTATCATTTCAATTTGTCGAAAGTTTAATTCAGTATGCCGGAAGTGTGATATACATTTTAGTAGCTTACCGACAATATTAAGGCATGTGTCACAATAAAGTATTTTTCTCTTTTTGCGCTTTTTTTTTGTCATTTTTTTTTTGTAATATTTTCACTTGCTCACTTGTTCTGATAATTTTTTTTTTTTTGTTCTTTTTTTTGTATAATTTGATAATTAGTAATTATATCCGTAACTTATTATTTGCTTTGTGAATCTCTATTGAGTTTAATTCTAAGTTGTCTTTTTGAATATTTTTATTTTCATATATGTACACTAGACTTATTTAGTACACAAGTACATTGTCCTGTTATTGGAAAATATTCTGTTGGACAATAAATGATTATTATGTATATATTTGTCTGACGCTCGAAGAGTTCAGACGCGTTATTTGCGCGCTCCGTCGTTAATTTAAAAACGAGTGAAATCAAATAGACATTTTCGATTACAAGTATCTACAGTGAACGTGAAAGTGTTATCAAACATAATATCTAATAATTAAACTGAATAATGAAGTGTAATCGCTGCGAAGAAGTTATGAACGTGGAGGAAGTTTTATGCTACGGATGTGAAGGATCGTATCATTATGCGTGTTCAATATCGGAACGTACACTAAGAGCGAGGTCAAAGGCTGATAGACAATCATGGCGTTGTCAATACTGCCGCGATAAGAATAAACCCTCGAAATCCTCACAGGAATCCATATCGTCCGATTTGGGAACTGGGTTCTCGAGTCAACTGGACCAATTAAGTGGTGATATTAATCCGACATTAAAGCAGTTTATGGAACAGGTCGTTTCTTCCTTGCAATTTATGTCCAATAAGATGGAGGAACTAAGTTCCTCTATGAACTCAATCGCCAAAGAAAATAAAGAACTAAAGGATGAAATAAAAACGCTGAACCAACACATGGAGACCAAGGATAAGCAAATTGAAACATTAACCGCGCGCGTCACGAAATTAGAGCAATATAAAAAACGAAAATTCATAGAAATTCATGGGGTGGATGGAGATAAATCAACTTCACCTGAAGATAAGTTCAAAATTATCTCAGAAAAAATAGGGTGTGAAGGGATACCTTATAAAACTGTGGATCTCATAAATCTCAAAAGCTCCAATATTCTATTAGTCAAACTTCACACCGTGGAAAATAAGGAAAAATTTATTAAGATGGGAAAAATGTGGTGGAGAAACTTTTCTGAGGAGGAGAGAAAAACTACTAAACGTCTGTATTTTAATGAACATCTCACACCTGAAAACCGACTGCTATTTCGCGAAACACGGAAAAAATCTGCCGCGCTTGGGTACAAGTATACGTGGATAAAAAATGGACGCATATTAATAAAAAAGGACGATAGTGCCAAAGTGTTAAGTGTCAATTCTGTTAAAGACGTAGAAAAACTCATCTAATTAAACACATTTCGAAGTGAAGAACTTGGACGTATTTATTTATTTTTGTGATAGAAAAGGTGTTTAGTTCGGATTAGATATCTATATAAACATTGATACAGTCAAATTTTATATCTTTTAAGAACATTTTCGTTTATTTACATTTCGTGTTGACAAACTTTGAGTTACTTATCAACCATGGAAGAAGATAATTTAGAAAGTAATTTTGTTTATTTTAAAAACTGTGTAAATATGGCAGAATGGACACATTTTATTGAAACGAACCCGTCAAATAAATCACATTATTTAAACATCTTTCATCTCAATATACGTAGTCTAAAAAAACACTATGATGAACTGTTAATTTTGTTCACTGCGGGAAATTTTGACATAATACTTCTGTCAGAAATAAATATCCACAAAGACACTGAATCCGCCTACCAGTTAGATGGTTACCAATGTATAATGAAACACCGCGATAAAAAAAAAGGTGGAGGCCTAGCCTTATATCTCAGGGATGATATTCAGTACAAACTCCTTCAAACACATGCAACTGAATTTGAATGCACTCACGTTGTACTGAATTTACCCAATTTCCGTAAACCTTTCGAACTGCTGTTTATCTATAGACCACCGGAAAAAAGCGTTATTAATTTCATCGATGAATTAGATCAAATTCTAACAAGTCACGATCGTCAAGATAATATTTTAGTAATTGGCGACACCAACATCAATTTGATGGATACAGCAAACAACAATGTTGCGGAATATGAAAATATTTTTCACGGAAAAGGATTTATTAATGTCATACTGGATGCGACAAGAGAGGAAATACGAGACGGTCTCCTAAGAAGATCGTTAATCGACCATTTCTTTGTTCTATCCAGCCTGCAATCGATCCATTCATCTGTCCTTCAACACAAAATCTCTGACCATTATCCTTTATGTGTTAATCTGGAACTTAGTACAACAAGAATGTCAAGTTATACAACTAACGTTATTAGACGTAAATATAATGAGTACAACTTGAAGAGAACTGTAGCTGAGACAAATTGGGAGAAAACGATACATACCGATGTCAACAAATTTGCCAACAGTATAATGACCAAGTTTCGTGCACTCTACATCCATAATCAAATTGAATCTGCTGTGGGTAATGGCAAGAACGTCGTAAGAAAAGGATGGATAACCAAAGATCTTTATCACAAGATGAAGGAGAGGGACAAACTTTTCAAAAAATGGAAATCGTGCCCTAATTGTAATGTTCATCACACAAATTACAAGCTTTTTCGAAATAGGCTCAATAACGAAATAAAGAACGCGAAGAAGAAATTTTTCCAGAGCAGATTGGCCAATAATGCGCACAATACCAAAAATCTGTGGAACGAAGTTAACCATATACTGACGAGGAAAAAAAGTAGAAACGTGGATGAAAAAATTCTGAAGTCGCTGACACCAAACTATACGCTAAGCGAAATAGCAACAAAATTTGTTGACACTTTCGATCAACAAATAGAAACTCTACTGCACAAATGTCAACATCCGGTCAAGATTCCTCACGACGATGAAGAACCCAGTGCCGCGCAAAACTTTTATGTTCCAATGTGCGACGATAAACTAATAGAGGGCATCGTTCAAAAACTGAAAATAGAAAAATCTCCAGGGTTGGATAACATTCGAGTGATTGACATTAAAAACAATATTCACATATTTAAAGGAATACTTTCTAAACTTATAAATTACTCATTAAAGCAAGGAATTTTTCCTAATGCGCTAAAAACTGCTATAATCCGACCAGTGTTTAAAAAAGGTGACCCCTCAGATTTCAAAAACTATCGACCCATTAGTCTATTACCGGTTATAGATAAAATCCTTGAAACTTATGTAGTGAAACACTTAAACAGTTATTTAAAACAAAATAATCTAATACAAGAAAGACAATTTGGGTTCCAAAAAAACAAAAGCACTGAACAAGCCTTAATTAAAGTGACCAATTATATAAATAACCAGATGAATAAAAATCACTACACCCTCGCGATATTTATAGATCTATCAAAGGCATTTGATACTGTAAATCAAACAATCTTGATCGAATGCTTGGAAAAAATCGGCATTATAAACAGGCAGTTGGATTGGTTTAAAAGTTATTTAAACAATCGAAAGTGTTTAGTGAAAGTTGGCAACGCTTTTAGTGAAGAACATACCGTCAAGTATGGAGTACCACAAGGAAGCAACCTTGGCCCTATATTATTTTTAATCTACGTCAATGGCATTTTCAAAAACGTTAAATTAACTGAACTGTTTATGTATGCTGACGATGCCATATTAATGTACTCGCATCGCGACGTTAATACCTGCCAACGTGTGATTCAGGAAGAATTAAATAAAGTCTGCAAATGGATGCATAATTATAAACTCTTCACCAATCCAGAAAAAACTAAAGCGATGTTATTCCACACTTCACATATGCAAAAAGTAAGCAAACCAAGAATTATAATGCATACTTGTCATTGCAATTTCGGTCAGAGCAAGGTATGCTGTTGCAGTACCATAGAAATCGTGAACGATATTAAATATTTGGGACTAATAATCGACTCATCACTTACATACGATAAGCATATACAATATCTACACTCAAAGATAAAGAAAATATCAGGAAGCTTTTATTTATTGAGCAGATTTGCCAATAAAAAAAACCATGGAAATAGTTTACAAAGCACTAATTGAGTCACTTCTCAGATACGCAATATGCGTATGGGGATGTGCAGATCTATCCTACGTAAAAAAACTCAACTCGCTCCAATTACGACTGCTTAAGCTGATTCCTGGAAATAATCACCTGCAAACACAAGATTTGCTGCAATATACAAATACGTTAACATCAACCGGATTTTACAAGTACCTTAATTTACTGAAGCACTTTGATGTCAACGAATTCAAAATACCCTTACCGCATTCGTATGGAACCCGAAGAACCATGTACGCAGTGCCCTATTGCTACAACAAATATGGAAAAAGAACATTAGAATTTACCATACCAACACTGTATAATTCCTTACCTAGAGATATCCTCAACGTTCAACAAATTGGAACCTTCAAAAAAGAAGTTAGAAAATGGCTCATACAGGGGACCTGAAATCAAATATAACCTATTCTTTGCTTTGATTACACGAAATGTTAATGCGTGAGACAAATATCTATTGATCGATATTTTTGTGTAACATCAATAATGTAAAAAAATGTATACTTACCTTACTATAAGGAACCAACCGATAAGTTTATCTAAACTTGGTTGGACCTCTAACATTGGGAATTAATCATGAATAAACATTTCAAACATTATCATAAGAAGAAGCAGTGGTGATAATGAGCCTGTCAGCATCTTCCTCTGTCTGCAGTACTCGGATGCATGGTTTTCCATTTTTGTTTTTGTCGTTTGACAAGAAATTTTTTTGAGAAACCGGAGTTATGGTTTTTTCATCAAAGATTATTTTTGGAGATGAATGTGGCTTGGCTCTGCTAACACGCTCAGAACTCTTCGTACCTTTTTTTTCCAATAGCCGTTGGATATTCTTCGAAAACTACTGCCACATTGGAGCCATATTGAGCTGTGATGTACTGCGAGCGTACCTGTCAGATATCGAACCAAATGATAATTTTCGAGACCACACAACTTTGTGAAGAAGAAAACCTACATCGACTACCACAAATTTGGTGTTCTTAGCATCAGTGTAAAACAGAATAAAAACTTCACCCACCAAATATTGCGAAAGATTTTCGAATTCGAAAAATTGACAATCTTTGAAAAGCATTATCTCAGAATCTATTAGATATATAGAAACGGATGTGGCCTTAAATTAAACCAAATTTGGTCTGCTTTGAAAACTTATGGAACAGTTATTGGCGAAAAACTAGACCTTCAGGGTTAAAATTCCGCCAATTTAATTTTTTGCCCTTCCCTATGGAGATCGGTCTTAAAAATAAACACAAAAAATATAACGAATAAGTAGTATAAAATAATAAGTACGTACATGGCATATTATATTGTTTGGATACACGGAAAATTCAATAATGGGGGTTTACAGTGTAGTTGAATTCCGTAGTTCTAATTTAATAAGCGTGTACGTGAAACCACAAAACGTATTTTTTGACAAGTTTATTTAAAAATAGAGGCAATATTGCAGGAGAATGTCCTTTGTAACTTGCGTAACCTGTCACAGACACTTGTCATTTGTCGTTCACTTTCGCGTTAGATTGATAGCGTTTTCGATTGGCAAAACTCGTGCTGCACGAGTGCAATTTTTACGTTTTATTGATAATTTTAGGGCAATTTTCTGTCTTCCATTGGCAAATGTGATGCAACAATTACGCATTCAGTGCAAATTTCGACGCACGAGGTCCGAGAGCTCGTGGAGCTGCTGGTTAACAAATTTTTAAAACAAACGTGCGACAATTTGAATTTGTTTCTTGCGTTGGGAGAGTTTTTTGTCGTCATCTAGCGATAGCGAAGATAATGAACTAGCCATAACTTCTATTTTACAAAAAGTTGCACTTACTCATTAAACTGAACGCCAAAAATTGGTCCTTTACAGGAATTTCAAATTTATATTCCTCATCGTTTATCATAAATAATACTGAAATCGTTTGTCATTTTTTAGAATAGAGATTTGTCGATTACCTAAATCTAAAATCAGCTTAGGGACAAATGACAACAAATATTTACGAATATTTGTGTTCCATTGAGAGCAATTTTCACATGGATTTCTTCAGTTTCTCGTGCAACACTCGTGCAGTACGAGTTTTGCCAATCGAAAACGGCACAAGGTGGCCGGCTCACTTCTAAGTGATTGGTTGTAGGTTTGTGACGTTTTAGACTGAAGCGTTTCAAAAAAACACAGCTTTTCAATAAATTATTTTGGGTTTATTTTACTCGCAAATAAAAATTGAGGACACACGGGTCTCTTTATTTTTAATGTACTTTGTAGATCAGAAATAAAAAATGAAGCCGGGATGCTCCCATT